TTAAAGTATATTGAGTGTCAATAAACTGTGGGTTTACAATTTGCATCAAATTTGGAAAATGGTGAGCCACTATGTCTTCAAAGGTTCCTTTCTGTCCAAATTTCCCCCAACCCATCTACCCAACCCACAACCAACATTCCAGGAATCCAGATTCTTGTATGTTAGACAGCTTATTATGGTCCCATAGCTTCTCTGTTCTCTGTTTTTCAGTCTTTTTTTTTTTTGCACCTTGTTATATTTAGCATAGTTTCTGTTGCTTTGTCAAGCTTCATTCATCAGTCCTGCTGCAGAATCTGATACTATCTTAATATTATTTATTGTATTTTATATTTTATTTATTTTAGGTCATATATTTTTCATCTTTAGAATTTCAGTTTGGGTCTTTTTATATTTTCCATTTTCTCTGTATCATAATTGTACTTTCCTCTGCTTTCTTGAACATATGGAATATATTTATTACAGCTGCTTTAATGAGCATATGAAGTAAATTTATAATAGCTGTTTTAACATTCTTGCCTTCTGTCATCTATGTCCTTTATGTTTCTGATTTAATTTTTCTCCTGATTATGGATTATATTTTCCTGCTTTTTTGCATGCCTGAAAGTTTGTGACCAGATGCTGGACTCTGTAAATTTTATGTTATTAGGTGCCTGAGTTTTGTTGTAGTTGTTTGGTTATTGTTACTTGATGGTTTTTACATTCCTTTAAGTATTTATGGGTTTTGTTCTGGGATGCAGTTTAATCACTTGGAATCATTCAATCCTCTTGAGACTAGCTTTAAGCTTTTGGTGTAGTCTCAGAATAGCTTTTAGTCCAGGTATAATTTGATTCCACTACTAATACCTTTCTCAGGACTCAAGTCAAACTGGAGTCAAACTACTCCAGGCCCTAAAGAACAGCCTTAGGAATTCAACTGTCTACATATTTCCAGAGAGTCTTGGCCTCAGCAGTTTCCTCATCCATGTATGTAGTTCTCAGTCAAGGACTTAAAGAAACTCCTCTGTTAATTTCCAGTCTTTATGTTCTCTCCCCACCCCCCTCCCTATCTCACTTACTCTCTCTTTCTATCTTAGTCTCTTTGGCTTGCCATAACAAAATACCACAAAAATGAGTTGCTTATAAACATTGGAAGTTTCTCACCATTTTAGAGGCTGAGAAGTCCAAGATGGAGGCACCAGCAGATTCAGTGTCTGGTGAGGGCTCACTCCTTGGTTCATAGGTCGTGCCTTCTCACTGTGTCCTCCTGTGGTGGAGGTTATCAATGAGCTCCCTTAAGCTATTCTATGAGAGCACTATTATCATTCATGAGATGCTGCACTCATGACCTAACCTCCTGCCAGAGGCCTCGCCTGCTAATGCCATTACTTTGTGAGTTAAGATTTCAACATGAGTTCAGAGAGATGCAACCATTCAGACCATAACTCAGCCCACCTTCATGAGAGCGTTTCTCTTTCTTTCTCTAGCAACTTTGCTTTCCAGGACTCTTCACAAACTTTCTCAACTCAAAATACTCTGTTTGGGTTCCCTTCCCTGTGAAGCAGTGAGCAGAATGCTGGAAAGGCTCATGTATTAATTTCCCTTCTCTCAGCAATTGCCATCCAGTTTGGAGTGTTGTCCAGGAAAAAAAAAAAAAAAAAAAAAAAAAACTTGTTGTTCTAATTTCCTTTATGATAAGAGACGTTGAGCATATTTTCATATGCTTTTTGGTTGGTTGTATATCATCCTTGGAAAGTTGTCTGTTGAGCTCACTTTCCCATCTTTTAATTTTTTTTTTATGGGTAAGCTGTTGAGTTCTTTGTATATTCTGGTTATCAATCCCTATCTGAGGTATAGTTTGCAAATATATTCTCACACTCTGAGGTTGTCTCCTCACTCTAGTTAGTTTCTTTAGTTGTACAGAAGCTTTTTAGCTTAATGTAATTCCACTCATCTATTTTGGGGACTATTGTCTATACTTTGGGGGTCTTCTTTAAGAAGTCTTTGCCTACTGCAAGGTATCCAAGTTTTCCTTGTGTTTTCCACAGTAGTTTTATAGCTTGAGGTTTTATATTTAGATCCTTAATCCATTTTGAGTTGACTTTTGTTAGTGGTGAGAGAGAGAGGAGTCCAGTTTCATTCTTCCACAGGTGGATATCATTTGCTGAAGAGATTTTCTCTTATCATAAGGAAAATACAAATCAAAACCACAATGAGATACCACGTAACCCCAGTAAGAATAGCTAAAATGAAAAAAAATGAAGAATGACATGTGGGGGTGGTGGTGTGGGAAAAGAGAACTCTCCTACACTGTTGGTAGGAGTGTAGATCAGTACAATCACTATGGAGAGTGATATGGAGATTTCTCAGAAACCTACAAATAGAACTTCCATACAATCCAGTAATTCCACTCTTACATATTTACCCAAAGGATAGGAAGACCCTCAATAAGAAAAACACACATCCATGTTTATTGCAGAATTATTTATAATTGCCAGGACATGGAACCAACCAAAATGCCCCAAAATAGACAAGTGGATTGAAAAAATGTGGCATATGTACTCTATAGAATAGTACTCAGCCATAAAATAACAATGAGCCCCTGACACCTGATACAAAGTGGATGGAATATAGAAGACAATGCTAAGCAAAGCAAGCCAGACTACGAAAAACAAGACTTTGTATGTCCCCATTCAATATATACTGATTGTCTGCACTCTATAGCAGAAACGGAAAGATTGGAAGATATAAAAGCAGACAGGGGAACTGTGGATAGTAGAGATAGTAAAGATAGGAGTAATAGGGGGATGGGTAATAGGGGGAGGAAGAGGAACAGGGGAAAAAAACAACATGTTTAATACACACAAAAATGAAATTATTTGCTGATGATAATATATATGGTAATGTCTTTGTCTTGACTAATATGCACTGTATTTGCACTGGGAAAAGCCATGTTGTACCCTATAAAGATATAATAATTAAATATAAATAATAAATATATATATTATACATACTAAAATAAAAAGCTGTTGGTCTATATATTTTGTCCAGCTTTCTAGTTGTTTAAAGGGAGAAGGTAAATTCAGTTCCTTTTATTCTATAATATCATTGCCTGAAAGATAAAAACTTAATTGCTATTCATTTCATAAATATTGATTTAATGCCTACTGTGTATGAGAAATGGTGCAGAGCACTGGGGTAGATTATTGAACTAAATAAAATACATTCCCTACCCTTGTGGTTACCACAGCCTAGAAGGGAAAAACAATAACAATTAAGTAATCATTCAGGTAAATACATAATGTAAACCATGGTAGGTGACAGAGAAAGAAGAATGCTACGAAAGCATTTAATGGATTGATTTTGTCTGGAGAGGCAAGAAAAGTTTCCCTAAACAAGTGACTCTAATTAAGATGCTAAAAATATGTAAGATTTGATACCAGTGTTATGCAGAGTAGGAAGACTACCAAGAATAATTGCATGGGCAAAGGCCTATGGTGGGATGGAACAACTGAGAGAAAATCCACTGCTTAGATTTTTCAAAGAAACTGTAAGCAAAATCTCAGAGAGTTTATGGCATGTGTTAGTGGCAGAGCAGGTCCTGAAATAAAGGACTTTTAGCCTTCAGGTCTAGTGCCCTTTCAGCCCATTATGTTGCTAGACGTACATAGAGAATACTAGAACATTTCATGTCATGATATTTCTCATTTTATGGCTCATGAAATATTATAGGCAATACACAATTTTAAAATTTATTTTTATTTACAAATAAATCTGTTCAAAATTTTATTCAAGGTACACTTTTAATTGTCAATATGCTAGTGTATTTATTTACAAGGAGTGTGCTAGAAAGTATAAATAAATGTACAAGAGAGCACAAAACAGAAAAGAAAGAACACTCACATATTTAGCACACTGAAGACCAATCAGCATTGTAATGGCCTGGGAGTGTTAATGTGGCTCCCTAACTGGCTAAATTACACCCAGGAGATTCTCAGCTCAGCAGTCTAAGCTGTTAGTGCTTTCAGACATTTGGGGAAATGCATCCATTGCCCCATTCCAAGCTTAATTGACATAATAAATGTCAATTACAGCTCCTTCAAGATTTTAAACTGCAAAACTCAAGTGAAACTATTTACGTATAAATGCATACAAGACTTCACTCCAAGAAGACTCCCTTAAAAGAGACAGAGAGTATTTACATTTACCATTCATGAAGTGAATATGCACGGGAAACAAACACAAAGACACCAGCAAACTTGCACATGCCTATTTTCTCCAGCTAGCCTAAACATATCACTCTTTATTTTATTTTATTTTTTTGGAGAGGTTTTTGCCATAGGGTGCGTGCGCTCACCACACAGAGAAAGACAGAGAGACAGAAAGTGAGAAATCACCCCCCAGGGGGGATGGCCATGCTGCAATCCCTTCTCCTCCATTCTCCTCTTGGGATCTTGGGCACGCACGCACATGCGTCCTGAGTGAGTTTTAAGCCACCAGGTCCGGGATCCAAACCGCGGTCGACTACATAGGAGTCCAGCGACATAGCTATTAACGCTAACTGCTGGTCCCCATATCACTCTTAAGTGGCTTATAAGTTGTTATATGTGAGTAGAATTCCATTTTCTTTCAACAAGGATATAGAGAGCACCAAGTATTGGGTTGTCAGAAATGTCATGATGCATTTTTGCATGGTTTTGCAAAAATGCATCATGACATTTCCGACAACCAATACGTACAAGGACCTGCAACACAGTAATGAGCAGGTTGGACAGACTTACCCCTATTTCCCCCTCTAAGATTCTGCCAGGAAGTCCCTTTTTTTTTTTTTTTGAGAGGCTTTTTGCTATAGGGCGCGTGCGCTCGCCAGACACACACAGAGAGACAGAGAGACAGAAAGCAAGAAATCACCCTCTATGGGGGATGGTCCTGCCGCAATCCCTTCTCCTCCATTCTCCTCTCGGGATCTTGGTCATGCATGCACACGCGCCCGGTGTGAGTTTTTTAAGCCACCGGGTCCTAAACTTGAACTGAGGTCGACTACATGGGAGTCCAGCGACATAGCCATTATGCTAACTGCTAGTTTTCAGGAAGCCCTTTTTCATCCCTGATTCTATATCTACACGTAACTCCTTTTCAAATGTTTACTTATGAGGCTTAAAAGATAATTATTCATTCAGTATAAATATATAACAGCAACTGAACTTTGTAAAACACCTTTTTAAGTCTCATCAACTAGTGGGAAAAATCTTCATTTTAGTTTAAGTAGCCCAAGTTGCCAATTGTTTGATGTCATCATCATCTTCTTCTGCTCTCCTGGAAGATGCTGCAATATAAAATGAAAAAAGAACAATTGGTGACAATCACAGAACCAGCAGAGAAAACAGGTATGAAATACATATATAACAATATGCTTATTGAGGAAATTAAAAATAAATGCTAAAAGAGATGGGCCCGGCTAAATTTTGGAGGCAGCCATCCTACCGCAGGTAGCTGAGTTGGGCAACAGACCTGGCTGGGATCGGCGTGCAGTGGAGGGCAAGCTTGGCTTTCTGTCTGGCTGTGCTGGGAGAGAGGAGGAAGGCACATTCGGAAGTCGGATATTTGTCATCTTTTTATTTAATTCTTCTTGCTCCAGTTCCTCAAGTTCTGCCATCAACTCATCCTGAACATAGGAGAAAGGAAGAATTATGGAGTTAACGTTTCAAGAAGTGGGTTTCCTCAAACACAATAACAAGAACATCTGCTACCCAATTGATATGTGAGAACCCAGTGAAATGGAATATTTATTTTAAAACTAAGTCTTTTTTGCAACACTGAGCAATGATTAAAAAACGAATATTTGGGGTTGTGCAAATTTGTTGTAGTTAATCTTATAATACTTCAGTAAACAGCCATTCAAGTCATCTGTGCTTGCTGAATATATAACCTCTGCAGTTTCTCAGAAATTTACACCTTGCCTATCATTTTCCAACGTGTTCTTTTCTCATTTCCTGTTAAAATGTGTGAAACTTTAATTGGAGGAAACAGACATTTTTATTTGGGATAATACAACTAAAAATAAAACAACAGATCTAGAAAAACTGTAATCTACAGGATGTAAAAGGAATCAATGATCCCATGGTTTCTTTGTCGAGTCACCAAAACCAATATAAATCATGCTTCATGTCTGGACTAAGACAACTTCAATTTGAGATAATTATTCTGCATTTCTTCCTCTTAGCAATAGCCCCAGAGAGTTGGTTTGATCTTAAATTATTCTTTATCCCCCCAAGCCTTAAAGAGACAAGAAGCATTGGACAACTTAAGGGTATAAGTCCTCCTACACCAAGACTGAGATGACTTGAAGTAGTTTAGATTTAATTAGTTCCTAATAAGGAATTAAGTCGTCAGGTGGGGGTTGTTTCCATGATGCACTGGTAATGTACTGCTTAAGAGAAGTCAGATCCCCCATGGTGTCCACAGCTGAAGTCCTCAGCCCAGTCAGCCCTAGGCACATCAGGCTTATATATGAATGCCCAGGCTCTGATGGACTGGAGGAAGGGGATGGGAGTGTTCAGACCCTGTGGAGGATACTTCTCTCTCTCACTCTCATATTCATGAGATTTATTATGAATAAAGAAAAAGAAAAGTCCATAGGTAGAATCCCACCCCATTCAGTGAGAGGTTAGGAGTCACTGAAATCCTGAGGCTGTCAATTAGAATGACCTTGGACACCCAGCCGAGCAAGTAGAGTTTTCATTTATTTATTCACTCATCATTCACCAAATTTACTGAGCACTCGTTCCTGGATAGATCTGGAACTCAGTGCTGGGGATGCAAAGTTGAATCAATACCCCTACATTCAAGGAACTTATGTACAAAAGTAAGAAAAGGCACATTAATACGATTTTTAAAGTGAGAGTAATTATGGGACAAGAGAGGAGATGTTTAAGCCAACCATGACATTTGATTAAGTCAATTAATAATCACATTTACAGCAAGATGAAGGATGGTCTGAGCTCTATTAAATCTACCTCATGAAAAGCAAAACATGAAGGTGAATAGCATCGGCACCTTATCGTTGTAGTTGTGTGCCTTACGGTTCTTCACTGGCTATGTGAATAAAATGGCATCATCATAAATTCTCTGATGTCTTATATCTACTCACAAAACAATTAGGAACAAATATAGAAAACACAGTAATAGAAGAAAAACTATCCTATGCTGAGTGCATGCCCAGAATTGCCACGAATGCTTGATTGTTAGCAACAGCACGAGAAAGGTATAGATGTTTTCTTTAGCAAATATGACAAAAGAGTAATTATTTCTTCATTATTTTCAGCCATGAGATACACTTTCAGCCTTTGGAAACACATATCTGGTCAGTGATCAAAAAATTTTAGAACGTAAGAAATGTTAGAGATCATCCAGTGATCCTGTCATTTTCATTTTACAAATGAGGAAACTAAGGGTCAGAAAAGTAACGAGGATTACATGAAGTTTTTAACAAATGATGGAACCCAGATGTCCTCCTGGACCAGAGACCTTTTTACTGTATCATAATGCATTTATGAGATTTACACCACCATTACAATTAGTCTCTGTATCACTGGACTGATTACTCTAAATGGAATGTGTGTGTGAATGCCACTCCACATGTGTTTTCTTTCATAGCCTGAGTAATACACAGGGGCAGCCTAACCTCTCATTTAACAGCTACAGAGCGTACGACGTCTGTTCCTTGCTGAGTGACACAGTCTGCTTTGTTTTGCCCAGATGTGTGAGCACTCGATTCCTTGTAATGGGGCTATTTAGGCTGCTTCCATTAAAAGTCACTAACTTTACATAATCACATGCTGTTTTGATCTTAATAGCTGAAAACTTAATTAGGAGGCTGTTCGCCAAACTATATTAATCTTTCCTTTAAATCAGAGCTATTAACACTTTATTTCCCTCTTAGGAGAAGTACATTTCTAACAATTATTATTTATTCTTTAAGGAATTCTTCATGTATTCTTCATTCTTTAAAAGAATATGTCTACTATACTTGATGGGAATGGGAAGGGGAAGTTCCCCTTTGTGGTAGCCTTTCCCTTTTTTTTTTTTTTTTTTTTGGCTTTTGCCATAGGGTGCATATGCTCACTGGAGAGAGACAGAGAGAGGGAAAGTGAGAAGTCACCCCCAAGAGAGAATGGTTATGCTACAATCCCCTCTCCTTCTGTTTTCTCTCAAGATTTTCAGCATGCACATACATGAGCCTGGCATGATTTTTCAAGCTGCTAAGTTCAGAACTCAAACCATGGTAGGCCATATGGGAATCCAGTGCCTTAGCCACCATGTCACCTGCTGGCCTAATAGTCCATTCTTTATATCAATTACCCACCTCATCAAAGTCATCACCAAATCCAACCCGTTGAGAAAATGCTTCTGAGATTTCTTGGGCAATATCCTGTTGCTCTGTGATCTCTTGCATCAAATCATCTATTTTGTTCAGGTCCCTGGGAAAGAATATTGAAATATTTTACAATTTTTTATTACAATTATAAATTTGGATATCATCCTGATTGAAGTGTCAACTTAACATAATTTTAGTTATTTCAGTAGGATATTAACAATTTCTGGTGATAATATTTATCAACTTTGAAAATAATTTCCACTTCAAAAAACTAGAAATCCTGTATATACACATATATTTTTAAATATTAAATAGTCATTACATTTGGGAGTCACTAGAAATCAAATCATTTTATAACTAATAATATTTGTAGATATATTCTAAAGTTTTGTCTGATAGGACAGATATAAAGTTTAAATATGGACTGCTGTGTATCAACTCTGTAGGAAAGGGAACCATGGAAAATAAAGGACCATCGCAACTAAGATAGGCTAGAGCAGCTTCCATTAGCCACCATCTATCAGCAGCCCTTTGTAGGAGGTAAACTCTGGGACTAGAGATCTATTTTCTACAATACCAAGTAACTCTGAGATCCCGATCCTTTGAGGGTTTTCTCATAAGCGTGATGCCCTGGAGGTTACAAAAGAGAGATGGATTCGGCCTAGAAAGGCCTCAGAGGCGTCAGCAATGGCAACAAATAATCCAGGTAGCCAGAGGTTCTGACCGACAGTTGCTTCAAAGAAAGTTTCAACCATCTGAGCTCAACATGCCCCTAACCACAGCCTAAGCTTTCAGTGTCTAAATACCACGGTCCATAGTGTCCTGTCTCTGAATCATTCCTCCAACTTTAAAACTAGGCCATACTGATTAGATACAAGAGGAGTGAAAACACCCTTCATTTTTCAGTAACCTAAATACTGAAAGTTTGATTCCCAGGGGAATGAATCTTTTGTGTTTCTCAGACTCTATATAAAAGCTTGGTATTTTGACATATTTTCACACAGTAATCAAAAAGAATACTTTACCACCCTTATCTCAAATCCTTATTACTATATTTATAATGAATACGCATTGAATATTTTATGAAAAGGAGTATAAGAGATGTATGGCTAAAATATGAGTCTAGGAGCAAATATTTCTCAGAAGGAACACAATGGTATGATGCCACTGAGCTACCTGGAGAGAAAGGCTGGCTTTGTAAGACATTTTAGCAACCAGCCTACAGCAACCACAGAAAGTTTTGACTTTACAACCAATCAAATAACCTCTTTAAAGCTGTTAAAATGGCAGCTAATTGTCAATGAATTTTCAAGCTAAGAAAATGTTAGCAAGGTTGCTTCCCTGCTCCCATCCTCTCACCTTTTCTATTTTTTTTCATCCTAAAGAAACTTGTCTCTGTCCCTTAGGTGTTCATTGCTCTAGTGCATTCTTTAATTCTGCTGTCATGTCCAGTATCAGGAAAGAATCAGGTCCAGGCATTTACTTCCCAGTGTGAATGTAAAGCAAACTGACACAAGCCCCACTACCAATATAAATATTGATGACTAAGTGCTTACTTTGTGCTAACTGTATTATATCTAGTATCTTACTGAATCTCACAATGACCATCTGAGGTTAAGTACTATTATTACCTTCAATTTACAGATAAGGAAACTGAGGCAATGTAAAGAAAAGTATTATAATTTGCCAAAGGGATAGTCAGCAGTGGAGCTGGGATTATGACCCAGAAAATACAACTCCCCACATCCATGCTCACAACTCTTATTCTATGTCAGTGGTTCGCCAGCATTGGTTAGTATCAGAATCACTTGGCGAGCTCGGTTAAAACAAAAAGGTCTCTGCTCTATCTCAGTTCAAGGGACCTGGACATCTGTCTTCTCATTAGCTTCCCAGGTGATTCTGATTTCCCACCAAACTTTAACAACCACTACTTTACAGTGCAAACACCAGCATAGATGCAACATTGAAGTCTTTTCAAAATTAGAGAATTATAGCATTTACCCATGGAGTTTCAGGCAGTTGTGAGAAAATCGGGAAATATTAGGAGCAAAAATGAATACCCTTTCTTCTTTCTGTTTTTTTGTTTCTTTTTCACTATAACCTATAATCTTTCTCTGATCCCACTCAACATGTCAAAGAGCTTCCAATGAATAAGCTCATGTCTGCCAAAGTCATTATATATTTCAAAAGATTCTTCCCAGCACTGTGAGAATTTATGATTCAAATAGAGACCAAAGTCACTCACATGTTCTCATGAGCTGCTTTCATTGCTTTTGCTGCAAAACCCATGTTCCTTAGCACCTCCGTGTTGGTATGTGAGTTTTCCAAGGCTTCTCTCTGGAACTCAATGGTGGAAAGGGTGCCATCAATCTGAGTGAGCTGCTTCTCAAACCTCTTCTTTCTCTTTAGTGCCTGTAATGCAGCTAAATAAGGGAGAAGCACATTTGTAAGGAAGGAGACTGAAACACCTACTCAAGAGACATTTGCATAGCACCAGCCATGGACTCTGAATTGCTGATACCTGAAGACGTGGAGTCTATCAAATAAACCCAGGAACATAAAGTGTCTTCTCAGACACTTACACCAACCATCACTCCCCAAAATATTGTTATTCTTTTTTTTTTTCCCCCAAAGATCTGGCAAGTTTTAAGAGGATAAACTCAATTGTTATGCTGTATGAAATATGATATGAAAATATGTCTGTTAGTATTAGACTTTAGAGAAAGGATAACTTTAAATATGAGTGAAAACCATGCCATAGAAAGATAAACCTTCATGGGAACCAGCAGTTAGCGTAATGGCTATGTCGCTGGACTCCCACGTAGTCGACCGTGGTTCGTGTCCCGGACCTGGTGGCTTAAATCTCACGCCGGGCATGTGTGCGTGCATGCCCAAGATCCCGAGAGGAGAATGGAGGAGAAGGGATTGCGGCGTGGCCATTCCCCCTGGGGGGTGATTTCTCGCTTTCTGTCTCTCTGTCTCTCTCTGTGTGTCTGGCGAGCGCACGCGCCCTATAGCAAAAACCTCTCCAAAAAAAAAAAAAAAAAAGAAAGATAAACCTTCAGAGGAATAAAAGCTTTCAGTGACTAATTCTAGCCCCATTTCCTTAAAGACAAGTTCATTGAGACCCAGAGAAATTAAGTGACTTGCTTACAGGAAGATAGCTTGAGGTAGCTGGAGCCAGAACCTAAAGAGGCAATATGCATTTCTAGGTCTGAAATGATTGACCATTAAGGTCACCATGAGTGTTTATGAATGCAAAATGGATTAAAAATAAATAAGGATTTTACATTAAAAAATTAGATGACACACTGGAGAGAGAAAAGAGCTTTGTCTTCAGACAAATAATATCTAAATAATCCTCATACTAACACTAGCAAGACCACTTTACCTACAAAGTAAACAGAGTCCTTTTGACTACGGCATCTTGGAAGACACCCAAAACATCTGCAAATGTACATTTTTTAAAAAAGAGATATTTTGGGGCCAGCAGGTGGCGTGGTGGATAAGGGCACTGGATTCCCACATGACCAACCATGGTTCGAGTCTCAGACCTGGTGGCTTGCTTTCTCACATTCCCTCTTTCACTCTCTCTCTCTGTGTCTTTCTGATCAAATTAAAATAAATAAATAAATAAAATTAATGAATAAATAAAAAAGAGATATTTTTGTTATAGGGTGCATGCACTCATCAGAGAGACAAAGAGAGACAGAGAGACAGAAAATGAGAATCACTCCCCAAGGGAGATGGCTGTGCCACAATCCCTTCTCCTTCATTGTCCTTTCAGGATTTTGGGCACACACATGTGCCCGGTGTGAGTTTTAAGTTGCCGAGTCTGGGACTCAAACCACAGCTGAATATATGGGAGTCCAACGATGTAACCATTATGCCATATGCTGGTGCCCCCCCAAATGTACATTTCAATAAGGCATTTATGGAGAGTGCAGGAAAAGAACAGCAAAGGAAGTTAATTTAATTGTTTTAGAGATTTTTGCTATAGGGTATGCACACTCATCAGAGAGAGACAGAGAAAGGGAAATTAAGATATCAACCCTCAGAGGGTGGGGGGGGATGGTCATGCTGCAATCCCTTCTCCTCCACTCTCCTTCTAGGATTTGGACACACCCCTACAAGCACCTGGCGTGATTTTCAAGTCGCCAGGCCCGAGACTTGAATCAAATTCAGTTCAGCCATGTGGAAGTCCCGCGTCTTAATCACCATACTACCTGCTGGTCCCAGCAAAAGAATATCAATATAAAGCATTAATAAATGATAATTATAGAATTGAGGTCTTTACCTCAGTTTTGTGGTTTCAAAGTGAAGTAGATAAATTATCATAATAGAAATTTCTGAGAAGACTTTCTTCTAATTCTCTTATAATTTCTGCAGATCTAGCTTGTTTATTTCAATTTTTTTCCTTTGGTGCACAAAGACTCACAGCATTATACTTTCTTGGTAGATACTGCAATCAGTATAAAGTATTATTTTTCTCTGCCCCATCTGATACTTTGTGCCTTAAATTCCCTTTCAATTTTTTTAAATTTTTAAATTGTTATTTATTTATTTATTTTTTGGAGAGGTTTTTGCTATAGGGTGTGTGCACTTGCCAGAAAGACAGAGAGAGACAGAGAGACAAAAAGTGAGAAATCCCCCCCGCACCCAAGGAGCATGACCACACCACAATCCCTTCTTATCCATTCTCCTCTCGAGATCTTGGGCGCTCATGTACAAGCACCCAGTGTGAGTTTAAGCCACCAGATCTGGGACTCGAACCTCAGTTGACTACATGAGAATCCAGTGACATAGCCATTACACCAACTGCTGGTCCCTCCCTTTCAATTTTCAAAGAAATCTTTTTTAAAAATTACATTAAGCATTATGGACATAATTTTGATAGTTATTTACATCAAACTGTAGTGTTCATCAGCTTCTTTTTTATTTTATTTTCTTTCTTCCTTTCTTTCTTTATTTTTTGATCGATGGCATGTTCACTAAACAGAAAGAGAGAGAGATAGGAGAAAGCAACCCCCATGGAAAATGGTCACACTGCAATTCCTTCTCTTCCATTTCTCTTTCCTTTTGGGATTTTGTTTCTCAAGCGCCCAGGTTCAGGACTCAAACTGTGCAGCCGGCCATGTGGGCTACTGCTGTGTTAACCACCAGGCCATGGGCAATAGTCCCAAAAACTAGACAAGTGGGACTAGGTTAGGCTGAGAAGCTTCTGCACAGCCAAAGAAACAATATGTAGAGTGAGAAGACAACCCTCAGAGTGGGAAAATATATTTGCAAATTATACCTCAGATAAGGAGCTGAGAACCAGAATATACAGCGTACTCAAGCAACTTTCCCACAAATAAAAAAAATCCAATTAAAATATGGGCAAATGAACTGAACAGACACTTCTCCATAAAAGACATACAAATGGCCCCAAAACATATGAAAATATGGTCAACATCCCTTGTCATAAGGGAAATGCAAATCAAAACCACAGGAGATATCACTTAACCCTAGTCAGAATGGCTAAAATTAAGAAAATAAATAATGATAAGTGCTGGCAATGCTGTGGTGAAAAGGGAACTCTCCTGGGAGTGTAAATTAGTACAACCACTTTGGAGAACGATATGGAGACTACTTAGAAACCTACAAATAGAACTACCATATGACTCAGCAATTCCACTTCTAGGCATTGATCCAAAGATAGAAAAACCCTCAGTCAGAAAAACACTTGCATATTCATGTATATTGCAGCATTATTTACAATTTACAATTGCTAGGGCATGCAATCAACCCAAATATCCAAAAATAGATGATTGGAAAAATGTGTCATATGTACTCGATGGAATACTACTGGGCCATAAACAATAATGAAACCCTGACTTTGATACAAAGTGGACCAATATGGAAGACTTAATGCTAAGTGAAGCTAGTCAGACTATGAAAGACAGACTTTGTATGTCCCCACTCAATATATATCAATTATCTTCCCTCTATGGCAGAAGCTGAAAGTTTGGAAGGTTTAGTAGCAGGGAGGACATTGGTAGATACTAGAGATAGTAATAATAGGAGTAAAGGGGAGTGGGTAGTGGAGGAAGGGAGGAAGGGAGAGGGGATCAAGGAAGAAAAAGGAAAAAAAATACGTTTAATTAACAAAAAATGAAAAGATAGTTACTGCTGATGATGTGTATAGTAATATCTTTGTCTTGACTGATACGCATGGTAATTGTGCTGAGAAAAGCAATGTTATACACTGTAAAGATGTATGTGATTAAATGTAATATAAAATGAATTAATTAATTAGAAGAGGGCGTAGTGGCGCCCACCCTATGACAAGTAGAAGACTAGACCGGTTAATGTAAGTATATATTATACACTTATATAAATATAACATATAAGTG